GTGTGAGAGGCGGAGAGACTATTAAAAGATTAGGGGGTTTTTCTTTCATGTACGTCCGCCATATTTAGTTCCAGGATTTGTAAAGCCATGGCTCAACTCGTTGTGAATGCGATCTAAATCTCCTCAAATAAAAACAATGGAAGTCGATATTTCGCTCTGTAATGTAAAGGACAACGTAACGATCTAAACGTTACGGAGAGCATTCAGAACTTTAAGTTAAAACCATTTAATCATAAATGGTATAAGCTATCAGATCCACATGCAGAGATGGGTGGAGCTGGCAGGAAAATCGTGGTTAGAATACCGGTACCTTCAAACTGTGGATCCTGCGCAGCCGACACCTGTATCCTCTACCAGGGCCACAGATTGATTTTTCACAAGATATTCACAGATATGTCTTTAGATAAATAGACGGCCATTTTACTATATCTTTTGGTAATTTCCCCTATGATGTCTGCCACCCTGGTAGAGGGTACGACACAGGCACGTGTGTTGTAGGTCGAAGATTATATAACTATTATATAATATTAGTCCGGTCGACCTTAGCGTAAGTGAGATACGAGAGAGGGGCATTTATTTTGATACTCTACTGGTGTTAATCTAGATCATTAAGTCAATGGTTATGAGTATATACATGTACATGTATATTCTTACCAGCACGCACCCAAAAGACAATGGTGATAATAATAAAAATAAAATATGTTAAAGCGCATGAGGATGGAGTAAAAAATAATAATAAATAACATCATTGTTCGTGGACTCAGGGTATACCCTAATTATTATTCAGGTTCGAGACGTTGAAAATACAATTTCATATTTGTAAACAATGAGATTTGTGGACAACATGCGTGCTACATTGTATAGTGGGATAATATAACAAACGTTTAACCCCACCCCCACCCCCACCCACCCACTCCTCACCCGTTGCCTAACTTACTCTCTGACCACAGGGTCCGCCAGCTCTTTGTAACAAAATTATTTTGTCTTTTGTCTCCTATTTTAGATGCCCCTGATTTCAGAGGGTACTTTTAATTAACTTAAATCTTTTATTCTGACACAAAATCCATGCAGCCTTACCTTAAATTGCCTCAAAGACGGTACAATCACCTTGGAAGCCCTACAGGTTAGTGAAAAACCCCTTTTATTACAATGCTTAGCTGCTTGTCGTACTGAAATTTCGTCTCAAAGGAATCAATGTGCTTTGTAGGACCTATATATCCAGTATTCTATATACTATATGAGTATATAGCTCATTGGAGGATTGCGGTATCAAATGGCGGTATCAAATGCATTTGGCGTTATGTAAGCAGACGATATAAGTGGTTTGACCATCAGTTCGGCAGGTCTCATATAGTTTGCGTAACAGCTTTTCACTTCCATTAACCAATTGCATCCCATTGACCAATCTTGACCCCCTAATTCAGGTGGAGGGGAGGAGTTGATTACGTCATAAGATCCGCTGTTGTTATCAACTGGGCTTTGTTCTACCACATAATATCATACATTTCGCACATACGTCTTTTGATTCGAAATATTTCGGCTTATTACAACACAGGAACAATCAGACGATCCTTGAATACCACGTGACGCGGTCTTCCGTCGCCCGCAGACGTCACTTCTACTAGTTTTGACTGGGCGCCTTTAGTTTCATGTTAGTTTCACAGGTCCTAATGTCTGTTATAAACAAAGCAACTGAGAGTACATCCAAATTTGTTCAAATATAAAACGCCCTCTGTAACATAGCCTATTCGGTGCACCGACAGCATTTTTAATGTTTCATTTTAGCGCTAAAATGCGCCCTTTCACTACAAGGACGCCACGGGAAAACCCCCTACCACTTTCTCGCTAGACCGCAATGAAAAACGTCAAAAACGCCATCTTTTATAATCGACGGAGTACGGAATAATCGATGTTCTATTTTCGTTCGTTTGAATCGGAAAAAGTCAATTACTGGTCACTGACGAAGATGATGGAACTGTCTCCACGGATATCACTGAGGTTTTATTGAAATGGCAAAATGACTATGCAGGTCTATTCAGTGTGTCAGATAAAAATTGTGATAGTTTTGATAAATCTTTCTTAGCCCAGGTTAATGAGAAACTTTATAGTTATAGACAGGGTGAACTTGATACACCAGATTTGAGTGCCAGTCTTAACACTGATATTACGTTTAAAGAAGTTGAGCTTGCAGTTAATGGTGCTAAGTGTGGTAAAAGCCCCGGGCTTGATGACCTGCCTTCGAAGGTCTTAAAAAACAATACAACTATTATATTTTTGTACAACCTGTTTAAGTACTGTTTTGCTAATTCTGTGGTCCCTAGTGATTGGCTTAGGTCTGTCATTAATCCCATACCGAAAGGTAGTGGTGTTAATTCATGCAACCCACTAGAATATAGAGGAATAACATTATCATCTAGCATATATAAGATATACACATCTATTCTGAATAGGAGATTATCGAAGTGGGCAGAAGATAATGAAATAATAGTTGACGAGCAAAATGGTTTTAGACAAGACCGTGGGTGTTTAGATCACATGTATGTAATGTCCAGTATAATAGAAAATAGTTTAAAGCAAAAGCAGAGCATATATGCCTGTTACATCGATGCAAGAAAAGCATTCGACAGAATTAATAGGTCTCTTCTATGGTATAAATTATTTAAACTAGGAATATGCGGAAATTTTATGAATTCCCTCCAGGCTTTATATGATAACCCAAAGTGCTGTGTTAGGGTAAATAACTATACAACAGGTTTCTTTGATATTGAAACTGGAGTAAAACAAGGGTGCCTGTTGTCACCTTTACTTTTTGACATTTACATTAATGATATGGTACATGATCTGAAAGCTCTGGGTAAAGGCATTAATGTAAACGATGAGCTGATTTGCTCGCTTCTTTATGCAGATGACGTTGTGCTTTTGGCCAAGAATGAGGAAGATTTACAGTCAATGCTTAATGTGGTGCACAAGTGGTGTTATAAATGGCAGTTGACTCTGAATGTGGACAAGACCCAGATAGTTCATTTTAGGTCACCTAAAATACCTAGAACAAATTATGTTTTTAAATGTGGCAATTTTACAGTAAACATTGTTGAGAAATATAAATACTTGGGTATGTGGTATTTTGAACACTTTGATGTGAATAAGACTGTATCATGTATAGCTAAGTCTGCAAGCAGAGCTTTAGGTCTTCTGATTGCAAAATGCAAGGCTTGTGGGGGCATGCCCTATGCATGCTTTACGAAATTATACGATGCACTTGTAGCTCCTGTGTTAGAATATGGTTCTGCTATATGGGGACTCCAGGAATTTAGTCAGATTAATGCTGTTTTCAATAGAGCTTGTAGGTATTTTTTGGGCGTGGGTGGGTACGCGCCAGCCGCTGCCACCCGTGCTGAAATGGGATGGATTTTGCCTTTTGAAAAGCAGTTAATTAATGTGACAAATTTCTGGTGTAGATTAGCTAATATGGATTGTAATAGGTTGACTAAAAAGGTGTTTTTATGGAGTTTACGTGTATCAAACAATGGAAAGAAAAATTGGATAACTAGGGTTAAAGGTAAATTTAGTGATCTAGGAGTAAGCCACTTATACGTAACTGATAATGATATATCGAAGGTTAGTACACTTAGCCTAATTGTGTTAGGGAGAGTGTAGCTTTTGAATGTCACTCCGATTGGTTGGCGAAGCTATGGGATGATACCCCACGTAGAAATGGAGGTGGAAATAAGCTGAGGCTATTCAGACTGTTTAAGCAAGACTTGGTAGTTAGTGAATACATAAAGAAACCAACTTTATCACTCAAGCACCGGCGGGCATTGGCTAAGCTGAGATGTGGGGTGGCCCCACTCAGAATAGAAACTGGACGGTATGAAAAACTTCCAGTGCTGGAGAGAACGTGTGTACTCTGTGAATCAGGTTGTGTTGAGGATGAGATTCACTTTTTAATTAATTGTCCATTTTTTAATGATTATCGTACTGATTTAATTAGAACTGCTAAATGTTTTAAGCCGGATTTTGATCTACTGGATGAAGTTAGCAAATTTCTTTTCCTGGGGCCGTATTCTCGAAAGGTTGTAACTTACAAATTCTTGTAACTTTTCACGTAAATTTACAACTGCCTCCGAGCTGTTGTAAGTCGCTACAAAAAGTTGTACGCATGCGCACTTGGTGAAAAGTCGGGAAGAAAGTGTTGTCTGCGGGAATTTTATGCTCGTGTTTATTGTCGGATATTTTTGACAGCAAGTAAAATTATTTAACCTTGGATGTTTTATTATCAGCGAGAAAGGTTAGCCTTTCGGATATTTCAGGTTAGTTGCCTAAAGTTAACGATTTAGATGAGAAAAATACGTTTCTATCGATCGCGCGATGGCAACATGGCAGTTTGGCAGGGTGTCCGAATTTTTAAACTAAAATGAAAACTGATACTTTTTTAAAAATGTGAGAGAATTACTAGTGTTGTGAGAAAGCCAAGTTAATGAGTTTTTTGGCGATATAAAACACTTTAGTTGTTAGTCAAGATTAATCAATCGAACGACGGTTGAATTTCAGTTTCTGAAGCTTCCGACTTTTTTAGGATGAAGATACATGTTTAGTCAGTGAATAAATTAAAATTATACTAAAAAAACGAGGTTAATAGATGGGGTTTTGTTCGGAAAAAAGTTATCTTTTAACTGATGTATAATGTTTGCTGTCATTATATTATTTACAAATTTTCTGTGAGATTTTGTCGTGAAGGTGTGTCTGAAAATCGCCATTTTTATCTGCAATTCATTGACTCAGGTTCTTATGGCTCTATTCCATACATGTGGTGGAGAAAATATATGCCTTCTACATCACAAAAAAGTACGTTTCAAATGCTTTAAAATGATATACTGCACACTATGTATCAAAAAGTATCGAGAGGCTGCCAAAGGAATAGAAACGTGTAGATAAAAAGTTGCAAATGTTGACCCCCTTTTCGGCACGTCATGGTGACCTCGATCAGCTGATGGCTGCATTTAAAACTATACATAAGTTTCATTAACTTTATTTTGTAGGTTCTGTAAATAATGATGGATTGGCAGGGTTCAATGATGATAATAATGACTTATCATCTACTTTCGAGTGATTTTAGATATTTAAACAGTATTTTAACTAATTTAAAAGGCTCGGTTTATCCATTTAAATGAAGGAGGTCCAGTTCAAATAATGAGATAATTATCATTGATGGAAAAAACAAATGACTTAAAACTGTTTTAAATACCAAAAAAGACTTACTAGTAATGTGTGAGTTAGTAAAATATTGTACAAATTGGCATTTTTGATAGTATTCCACTTATGGCTTTCCTTATATAACATTGTACTTATTACAAAGTTACAGAGTAAATTCTTATTAAGAGTAAACTGACACTTGCTTAGATTGCACTTTGATCTTAACAATTATAGCTGTTTTCTTGCTACTGTTTCATTTTTAAATTGATTTCATACTGCAATTGCAAAATATAATTCCTGCATAGTCCCATCTACTTGCTGCAGTTCTAAGATAAGGGAAAGTAAAACCAATATATACCATATTAATTTTAAAATTAAAAAAAACTTTTTGCCAAAGAAATAAGTATATTTCATTATTTAAGTTCCTCAAAGAATACAAATATTTAGATCTAGTCTTGTTACAATAATAATGAATAACAATAATAATACCTGAAAGTTTTAATGCTTATCATTTTTTTCTGTATTTTCTCTTTTATGATGCACTCACACATACATGCACACATACATGCACACACAAGATTATGTCTCTTTTCATCATATATCGCTCGTTAGGAATTATTTTGGGTTTTGTTTTGGATAAAGAAGTATTTTGTATTTCTTATCACAATTGTTATGGCTGAAACTAAAATTGCATGCACTGTACAGTGAATTTCCCTCTATTTTCAGGAAACTGATTTGTTTAATTTGAGTAAACAAATAGAAACATCTTATAATTCGCTATGAAATATATTTCAGCTGTGGCTTGTAATTTGTAGTCACAGAACTTTTCTTTTCTTTTTTTCTTAAGTCAGTTTTAGGGATAATCATTACCTTTCACTTTTTATTTTAATTGTTTGTGAGTTATCATGGATGTTTGTGTAACTTTCTATGATTAAAGTGTGCAATGTCAAGGTTCATACATGAACATAACAAATTCAAGGATTTTATAAGAATTTTGAGACTAATTCAGTTGCTTTTCAAGGACTCTTTAAATGCAAATGAGGGCAATGTAAAGTCACTCATAAGTTTCTATAACAAAGAAAAGAGGAAGTAATATATCATTTAAATTAAATTTTATACACACTGGGGATGAAACATTAAAAAATAGAAATTAAATAATGTCCAAAAAG